GAAACCAGTAGGTTTCATTCCCTTTAATAAAGAACATAATAATAATAATAATAATAATAATAATAACAACAACAACAACAACAACAACAACAACAACAACAACAACAACACTTTATTTGTACCCCGCTACCATCTCCCCAAGGGACTCGGTGCGGCTTATATGAGGCCGAGCCCAAACACAACAGTACAAGCAATAACAACAATACAAGCAATCAAAACACATAGACAATAGGATATCTACCTAAGGGTCATCCAGTCCAACCCACAAGAGACAGATAGATAGCAAGATAGAAAAATAAATTCATAAAGTTGGAATAGACTCCAAGGGCCATCCAGTCCAACCCAAAAAGGTAGATAGATTGATAGATAGATAGAGGTAGGTAGACCGCACGAGGCTACTCAGTCCGACCCCCATTCTGCCAGACAGGAAGGAACAACCCAATCCCTCCCAAAAGATGGCCGTCCAGCCTCTGCTTCAAAAGCTCCAGGGATGGAAGGAGTATCCACCACACTCCAAGGGTGGAAGGAGAGCGGCGTTATAGAGCTCGCCTGTGTTGATTTGCAGAGAAATTGGCTCAGTGGTTGGTTCCCCGTTAACTCTTGCGAGACTTTGGTGGGCGAGAGTCACAGGGCCAGTTCTGTCTGGCAGAGTTTTTGGCACAAAGCGAAAGACGAAGGAAGGCACCTCTGGGATGTTCGGGGTTTGGCAACCAAAACGAACGACCTCAAGGTTAATAGCAGGCTAGTGCTGGTGGGTTGCGCTCCTCCGCGGCTGGTATTTCTGGCATTTCCAGGGGCAAACCGTAATAGGACTCAAATAGGGACAGGCACTCTCCGGACCTTTGCTTGGGAGTGTTTTCTTGGGCAGGAGCCGGAGGACGGAGCTGTGGGGGGGAAAGCCGCATCCGGAGGAGGCCACAAAGCCAAGGCAGGCCTCTTTCGACAGGAGGATGGTGGGGGCAAATAAAAGGGAGCAGAAGCAGTTGGGCTTCTACATCCAGAAGCAGTTCGGCCTTAGACATCACTTACAGAAGCAAAAGCCTAAGCAAAAGCAAAGTTTCCCTATCCAGAAGCAGTTGGGCTATCCAAACCCTCCGAAGAATGGTTGGGGCAAGGCTGGGGACAGCACCGATCGTGTGGCCTGGAGCTTCCAGATCCAGAAGCAGTTGAGCCTTGGATCCCGCTTGCAGAAGCAAAAGCCAAAGTAAAAGCAGAGTTTCCATATCCAGAAGCAGTTGGGCTATCCAAACCCTCCGAAGAATGGTTGGGGCAAGGCTGGGGACAGCACCGATTGTGTGGCCTGGAGCTTCCAAATCCAGAAGCAGTTGAGCCTTGGATCTCGCTTGCAGAAGCAAAAGCCAAAGTAAAGCAGAGTTTCCATATCCAGAAGCAGTTGGGCTATCCAAACCCTCCGAAGAATGGTTGGGGCAAGGCTGGGGACAGCACCGATTGTGTGGCCTGGAGCTTCCAAATCCAGAAGCAGTTGAGCCTTGGATCTCGCTTGCAGAAGCAAAAGCCAAAGTAAAAGCAGAGTTTCCATATCCAGAAGCAGTTGGGCTATCCAAACCCTCCAAAGAATGGTTGGGGCAAGGCTGGGGACAGCACCGATTGTGTGGCCTGGAGCTTCCAGATCCAGAAGCAGTTGAGCCTTGGATCTCACTTGCAAAAGCAAAAGCCAAAGTAAAAGCAGAATTTCCATACCCAGAAGCAGTTGGGCTATCCAAACCCTCCGAAGAATGGTTGGGGCAAGGCTGGGGACAGCACCGATCGTGTGGCCTGGAGCTTCCAGATCCAGAAGCAGTTGAGCCTTGGGTCCCGCTTGCAGAAGCAGAAGCCAAGGCAAAAGCAGAGTTTCCATATCCAGAAGCAGTTGGGCTATCCAAACCCTCCGAAGAATGGTTGGGGCAAGGCTGGGGTCAGCACCGATTGTGTGGCCTGGAGCTTCCATATCCAGAAGAAGTTGGGCCTTGGATCCCGCTTGCAGAAGCAAAAGCCCAAGTAAAAGCAGAATTTCCATACCCAGAAGCAGTTGGGATATCCAAACCCTCCGAAGAATGGTTGGGGCAAGGCTGGGGACGGCACCGATCGTGTGGCCTGGAGCTTCCAGATCCAGAAGCAGTTGAGCCTTGGATCCCGCTTGCAGAAGCAAAAGCCAAAGTAAAAGCAGAGTTTCCATATCCAGAAGCAGTTGGGCTATCCAAACCCTCCGAAGAATGGTTGGGGCAAGGCTGGGGACAGCACCGATCGTGTGGCCTGGAGCTTCCAGATCCAGAAGCAGTTGAGCCTTGGATCCCGCTTGCAGAAGCAAAAGCCAAAGTAAAAGCAGAGTTTCCATATCCAGAAGCAGTTGGGCTATCCAAACCCTCCGAAGAATGGTTGGGGCAAGGCTGGGGACAGCATCGATTGTGTGGCCTGGAGCTTCCAGATCCAGAAGCAGTTGGGCCTTGGATCTCACTTGCAAAAGCAAAAGCCAAAGTAAAAGCAGAATTTCCATACCCAGAAGCAGTTGGGATATCCAAACCCTCCGAAGAATGGTTGGGGCAAGGCTGGGGACAGCACCGATCGTGTGGCCTGGAGCTTCCAGATCCAGAAGCAGTTGAGCCTTGGGTCCCGCTTGCAGAAGCAGAAGCCAAGGCAAAAGCAGAGTTTCCATATCCAGAAGCAGTTGGGCTATCCAAACCCTCCGAAGAATGGTTGGGGCAAGGCTGGGGTCAGCACCGATTGTGTGGCCTGGAGCTTCCATATCCAGAAGAAGTTGGGCCTTGGATCCCGCTTGCAGAAGCAAAAGCCCAAGTAAAAGCAGAATTTCCATACCCAGAAGCAGTTGGGATATCCAAACCCTCCGAAGAATGGTTGGGGCAAGGCTGGGGACGGCACCGATCGTGTGGCCTGGAGCTTCCAGATCCAGAAGTAGTTGAGCCTTGGATCCCGCTTGCAGAAGCAAAAGCCTAAGCAAAAGCAGAGTTTCCATATCCAGAAGCAGTTGGGCTATCCAAACCCTCCGAAGAATGGTTGGGGCAAGGCTGGGGTACAGCACCGATCGTGTGGCCTGGAGCTTCCATATCCAGAAGCAGTTGAGCCTTGGATCCTGCTTGCAGAAGCAAAAGTCAAAGCAAAAGCAGAGTTTCCATATCCAGAAGCAGTTGGGATATCCAAACCCTCTGAAGAGTGGTTGGGGAAGGCTGGGGACAGCACCGATCGTGTGGTCTGGAGCTTCCATATCCAGAAGCAGTTGGGCCTTGGATCCCGTTTGCAGAAGCAAAAGCCAAAGTAAAAGCAGAGTTTCCATATCCAGAAGCAGTTGGGCTATCCAAACCCTCCAAAGAATGGTTGGGGCAAGGCTGGGGCTTCCAGATCCAGAAGCAGTTGAGCCTTGGTTCTCGCTTGCAGAAGCAAAAGCCAAAACAAAAGCAGAGTTTCCATATCCAGAAGCAGTTGGGCTATCCAAGCCCTTTGAAGAGTGGTTGGGGCAAGGCTGGGGTCAGCACCGATTGTGTGGCCTGGAGCTTCCATATCCAGAAGCAGTTGGGCTTTGGATCCCGCTTGCAGAAGCAAAAGCCTAAGCAAAAGCAGAGTTTCCATATCCAGAAGCAGTTGGGCAATGCAAACCCTCCGAAGAATGGTTGGGGCAAGGCTGGGGACAGCACCGATCGTGTGGCCTGGAGCTTCCAGATCCAGAAGCAGTTGAGCCTTGTGTCCCGCTCGCAGAAGCAAAAGCCAAAGTAACAGCAGAGCTTCCATATCCAGAAGCAGAGCTTCCAGATCTAGAAGTAGTCAGGCTTTGGATTTCGTAAGCAAAAGCAAAAGCAAAAGCAGAGCTTCCTTATCCAGAACCAGTTGGACTTTGGACCTCACATGCTGGGGACAAGTTGTTATTGTTGTTATTATAATATTGTAATTATATTACATTATTATAATATTATGTTATTATAGTGTTTTATTGTATATTATTTATTATCTTATACTATTATATTATTATATCATTTATTGTGTTTATCATCATCATCATCAAGGTTGGATGGGAGATCTGGGCAATCCCAAAAATGAACCTTTTCCAAGCTCTGATGGCAACCAACTTCATTTGTATCCGAACCCTCCGAAGGATGGTTGGGGCAAGGCTGGGGACAGCACCAATCGTGTAGCCTGGAGCAACTCGTAACGCAGCTGGGAGAATAATAGCCCATTGACATGGGCCCGGGAAGGGCCAGATATGGGCCTCCAATGGTCTGAATGCAAGACGCTCACCTTGCGTGACCACCTTGCCGAAGACAGGCAGGCCGTCCAGCGTGGAGCAGTTCCACCGGCGGTTGCGGAACTGGAACTGGCACTCCTCGATGGCCAGCTGCGCCCCCCGCCGGACCGAGTCCATGACCTCCAGGTTCCTCTTGCACATCTGCACCTGCCGCTGGATCAGGCCCTTCAGCTTCTCGCAGGTCTCCTCCTCGGAGATGCTCCCCACCGATGAAAGCTTGGCCAAATAC